GGAGTTATGCAGCATTTTGCAGTCTGAATTATACATCATAGGGTGACACCAGCCTTTGGTTTCTCTTATCTCACAAGTTATCCAGGACTCTGCAGCTCTCCAATAGGCTATGTCAATACAACAGGATGCATGCCTTCTTATCACTTGTTTGTAGCCTTGTTCAGGAAGCTGTTCCCTTGCATTTGAATCCTCCAGACAAATGTGTGCTGTAGATAGAGCATGCTGACACCCTTTCAAAAAAAATATTCTTCTCAAAATTAGCCTGTCGGAAGTAGACATTTCTGGACTCCAGTTCAGAGAATCTAGACTGAGCATTGAAAAAAGGCCGCTTGATTTAACTAGGTTGCTTGAAGTAATGTGCAGAAGCTCAGCTGCATTCTCCATCATGGGCAGTGGTGCCTTTTTTTTGTTTGGGTTCAAAAAGGAACTAGGCAAGTTCATGGATGATGGATCCATTAATAGGTATTACGCAGAACAGATAGGGACGTGTCCTCTGGCATCTCTAAACCAATGTGGTAAGTACCAGGGGAGGTATGCCAGAGGATTGCTCACGCTAGATACACCTTGTGTGTATGGTCTCCCTTGACAGCATCCACTCCCGCCACTGTCAGTCACTGTCTGACTTCCTAGGTTTTTATACTGGTTCAGTCATTAAGATTTTCAGCTTTTTACTGTAATATGTAGTATTTGCTCGTAAGTGGTGTTTTGTGCTCTTGTTCTGTTTCAGCCCAAACACGAAGACAGACTCTCGGTTTGCAGTAAATTATGCTATGCGATTGGGGGTGCTCCAAATCAAGTTGCAGGGAGTGCCACTGCTTTCTTCCTGCAGATCTACCTGTTAGATATAGCATACGTAAGTACCATGGGAAGCACTTTCTAATTGCAGACTAAGTTTGACTGGGATATTGTCACCTACTTAATTTCCCTGTATATAGGGAATAGAAATTAATTTAACATGCCTCTTACATGATGTTTTTTACTATAGTTTTTAATTGCTCAGCACCTGTGAGGTTGAGGAGGCTGCCCTAGATACAGTTCCTTTATTCCTCTTATTTTGACAGTAAATTACTATCATTGGTTTTCTATGTTGGCCCATCCTAGCAGTTAGGGCTTTCAGAAGAACACCAAGTATCACAAGACTTGTGATATAACAGCAGGATTTGCAACGCTGCTGCACGAGCCTGGAAAAGACAGCCAGATCATGAATGTTTTGTGGGAAATGCAGTGGCAAAATCTGGACGAGAGGAGAGAGGAAGGCAGGGACGAAGTTGGTGCTCTGAGTGATGGGGAACGTAGGGGAAGTAGTAGTGAATAAGAGAGATTCTTAGAGGGGGAGCCGAAGGCAGGGTTGACTGCACTCGTCTCCTGCTTCCCTCCTGAGCAATGGTAAAAGCTCAGGGAGCATGCAATGCCTGGCCTAAGACTGGGGGAGATTCCCAGACTAGATGGAGGCAAATAAGCTTTCTCCCAGTATATTTATAAATACCAAAATCAAAGAAAACTTTTCTCCTGAAATTTGATGCTGACTCTGTCATGGGAATTGCACAGGGCTGAGTTACCTCTTCTTCTGCTTGGCTTCAGTAACCTCCTGCTGCTAGTAACTCATGGGTCATTAGTCCCTTTAGACTCCATACGCATGCAGAGAGGACTCTTTCCTCCCCATCACTGGGATTTGTGTCGTGTCCTCATTCCCCTCACCATGTTCCTCGGAGAAAGAAGCTGCAAATCAGCAAAGCAGCTGCAGCAATAGTTGGAGCAGAGCTGTGGGCCACCTCTTGTACCTACAGTTGTAAACAGATGTTCCCTCCCCTGAACTGGTTTGCTTAAGCTTCTTCCTCTCCACCCTCTCATCCTCCCTCCCCAGTTTTTTTCACTTTTTCTCGTTCCATACCTGCCATCCTCCCTCCCTTCCCCCTGCTCTCTGATGTATTCCCCCCCCACCCTTGTCTGTCTTTATCAGAAAGACAAAAAAGATACACGACCTTTACTCTGTTTTTTAATTTCCCTTCTTTTATAACAGCAACTGAATGATCCCATGGATTTTCCCAGCTGCAAAGGTTGTTTGTCACAAAGATGTAGTTTTGAGAAAAACAGATGATAGGCATTTTGCAGTGTCTCTTTTTAGTCCCCTAGTAAAGGGCTAAGGCCAGGCCTGTGTAATTCCAACAGACCCAGGCCCTGCCTTTTCCCAGCCAGTGTCTTGTGAGTTCTTTCGCTCTGCAGATAATTTGTAGAAATTACAGCATTGCACAAAGTGAACCATAATGCATGCTTGTTAAGTTAGTCTTAAAAATAGTTGCTTGTTACATTAGTTTTAGGTTTTCCCCTTTGATTATTTTTTTTAATGTATGGAAACTTTAAATGTGCTCTCCTTTTTCCTTGGCACCTGCTGTTTGTAAGAGTTAGAACACACATCATTCACTTGTCACCTTAACTGCAGTTATTAATTGCATTAGTCATTAGGGCTGCGCAAAGCTTTGGTCCCTGATTCAATTCAGCAGAGATTTGGCCCGATTCAGTGGCCGAATCTCTGAATCTGGATCAAATCAGGAAACCCTTTAATCTCTCCAAATCAAATCGGAACCCTCCAAATTGACTTGGAAAGATTCGGCGATTCAGACATAGACACAGCTTTAAATGTTTTTTCTACATACCTCAAGGTAGCAGGCGGCTTGTGATTGCTGCGATGCTGGGGTGCATGGAGTGTGCCAGAGGAGCAAGGGGGGGCCCCCCAGCACGCTCGGCAGCAGACCCAGAAATGGAGCAGAAGCACTTCCGGTCCACATCCAGGTCCACTGGGGAACACGCGGGGGGCCCCCCTGAACCCCCCCCGAGCCCCTCTGGCTCGGTGACTGGTGCCTCCTGGGTCTGGGGGTCACCCGGAGTCCCCCTGTGGCCAATCACTGAGCTGGGGAGGTGCGGGGTGGGGGTGGGGGGGGATGGCACACTCCCTGATGGACCCAGAACTGGACTGGTAATACTTCCGGGTTCGCCGCCAAGCACGTGGGAGGCCCCTGCGCTCCTGTGGGACGCTCCATCTGCCCCAGCATCATAGCGTTCACAAGCTGTGCTGGTATCTCGAGGTATGTAGGAAAAGCATTTAAAGCTGTGTCTATGTCCGAATCGCTGAAATCAGCATCGAATCCTCAGATTCAGACTTGGCCAAATTGAATTGGGGACAGTGATCCGAATCAATGAATCAAATCACTGTTGCCAATTCAGGCCGAATTCGAATCCGAATTGAATAGGGCCTGCTTTGCACACCCCTATTAGTCACAGGTCAGTTCTGTATGGAAATAGGTCTACTCTGCTGTAGCCACATTTACAAATAGCATCCATTGAAATCCTCCTTGGTAATGTCAGTAGAGAGAGTCAGGGCCGAGGAGTGGATCTGGAATATGAGCAGTACTCTTACCTGGTCTAGGTCACGCTAGAGCTTTAAAATGGGGCTATGTCGGGGCAACTTATAAAGAAAGCAACCTGGTTTTTCTTGGTTCCTTTACTAAACCAAGGGCTTCAGTCTTCAGGACTGCCTGTCTGGCACTCTTCCCCAGCACTAAATTCATCTATAGCCTCTCTCTCCTCATGTTTCCTCCTCATGCAAATCCTTTCTTGTTGGTCTTTCTCAGTATCTAGATATGGTCAATGGAGAGCAATTTATTCGCTCACTTATAATAGTAGGCAACCTGTTTTGTAAGTGAACTATCATTAGTCTTTAAATACAGCACTGAGATTCATTCTGGAATGTTGCTTTATGCTGTTTCATTGTATTGCTAAATAATAGCCCTTGTTTAGAGCATTGTGCCTGTATTTTCAGATTACTCCGTTTCATGCCTCTCTGGTGCTGTTCATTGGCAAGGTCGGGGGTGCAATTACTGATCCTGTGGCTGGCTTTTTTATTAGCAAAAGTAAAAAGACAAAAATTGGCCAACTCATGCCTTGGTAAGCAGATTTTGTTTTTCTAAAGATTTCTTGTTTTAATCTTAGAATGGTACAATTGAGTTAAACTTCTGTTTTTCCTTGTCTTTCTGTTTCCTAAATAAAACTATTATAGTATAAGTAGAATGAGTGTACTGGGGAAAAAAGCACTCCTTTTGAACTCATGTTGTAGGCTGTGTCCATAAATTTAGGCATGGGGTTTTCTGCTTGTTGATATTTCCCTGAAGAAACCGTAGGATTGGTCATTTGGTAATAGCAATCGTCGTTTGACCTTGACCTTTTGTGCCATGACAGGGCATCGGACTTGATGATCTACTCAGGTCCCTTCTGACCCTACCACCTATGAAACTATAATAGGCCAAAACTGGAACCTCAGCTGAAAACTCTGTTGAATTCAGGGTGGAGGTCAAATTAAACTTCCAAAAATGTACAGACTCCTTAGGTTTAAGTCTTGGTTAGGTTCTCCTTTGAAAGGGACGTATTGTCTACTTCCGACTCAAACGCCTCTACATTTTTGCAAGACTAGCCATTGGCTAGAGACTTGTTTGGAGCCCTCTGGCACCGTGTCCATCTCACTGGGTCCCAGCTCCATACACAGGCCTGCCTTGAGCTCACCTGGCTGATTCAGCAGCGTGTGTGTCCTGCTACTCTGATGACCAACCCAAGTTTCTCACCCTTTTCTAGTCTTATTGTGGGCAGTGTAGGATCTTCCTCCAGGAGTGTGACCCACCGGCCACTTGCACTCAGCGCAGTACAGCATAAGTCACCTCAGTGTTTTCTTCTTTGTCTCTTTTCCTTAAGTCTCTGGTGTCAGCCCCTTTAGTTAAAAACATTCAGTTAACATGAGAAAAAAACAACCAATGGCTGGAAGGGTTTTGCACTCTCAGCGTTGTCATTATGTACAGCCTCTCATCCCCTTCCTCACACTGCCTGTTGAACAGTGAAATGTGATTTAATTGCATCACCAACATGCCCTGGGGCTCTTGTCCCACTCTGTCTTGGCGGGTGATGGAGCCCTGAGAAAGATAGCATGCCTCATTCTACTTTGGCTTTCACTGACTCTAGACATAGCGAAGAGAAGAAAGTATCAGTTGCCCCTACACCGATGATGTGGCACGAAGAAGACAGAAGTGTTACTACAGGGCACTGAACGTAGGGATAGACCTTGTCAGCAAAGGAAGGAGATTGACAGGTGAGGAGTATGAACTGGAGAGAGATGATGCATGGTAGAGGAATGGCAAAGGATATTTCTACACTGTGGTGGCAGTCTGCCCTGGCTGGGACATTTTCCAGCATGCATTACCTGCCTGCTCCTTCTCACGTGTTCCAAACCCACAAATACATTGATTAAGCTGCTCTTGGGATGCCTCCAACAACCATTCCCAATCATGGGAAGGTTAGACTTGGGAATATTCTGCCTTGGGCATAATGTCGCCACGGTGTACATGTAACCAAGCTGTCCTATGGTGGGAAGAGTTTGTGTGTTTTTGCTATCGCTGTAAAGAGAAATGGAGACCAGTTGGTATATGGGATAAGGATCCCTTCATCTCTGTCATAGCTTCAGTCTCATAGACTGAAAGAAGCTACATCCAGACTATTAACATTGGTAAGAGCCATTTAGTTCCTTGGATATATTTCCAAACCAACCTTGCAGCTGGAACTGACTGGCAAACTTCTTGCCAGAAAGGGCAGGAGTGTGATTGTCATGGAAAATAAAGCCCTTTATCAGATCTAGTTGTCTTACTGTGGTCTGCAGATGACCTTTGCTCTGCAAAACCTTTCTCGTGGTACACTTATAACTGATGCATAAAAAAGCTGAGAAGACAGGAAGTTGAAAGAGAAACTTTGAGATCAACTGCTTCGGGGCCCTGGAGACATGGCACCTTCAAATCAAGTTATAGACCTGTCGCTGGAGATGATGTGGGCAAATTTGTATTGCTGCTGTTGCCTTTGCTGCACTTTGTGTTTAGGATTGCAGTCTGCAGTGCTGTTTAATATAGGACTTTTCCTGGATGCTAAATTTGTTGTGTGAAAAGGATAAACTAGAAGGAAAGCATGGCAGGGTGAGGTACGTTTTTATGCTAAATTGTGAGCTGTATTGTCATTTTATTTTTCACTTATTTTTCAGTTCTGTCACACCCTGAAAATATTGTGTGTTAGGACAAAGATTAGTGGGAAAATGACTCGCAGCCTAGCATTACATAGACTTATCAGCTCTTTGCATACAAACCAGCTAGTGCACAACTTGCACTTCCTAGAGAAATGGCACTTATCAGGCCTTGACAAATGTCTTTTAAACTGCTCTTTTTCTGTAAGGCTTTCGCGTTTTTTAAGTGGCTGTTTTAACATGGAGGGCACTCATCCTATAATTTACAGGCCAGGTCCTCAGCTAGGATAAGTTAGCTACACACCATTATACCAATTAAAGACCCAATCAATGTCTGATTGGCTTAAAACAATGCTTTGCTGATTGATTAATATTTATGTTTTGAAATTACTTCAGTCATTTAGGTTTTAAAAGCGAACCAGACAATTATGCACACTTAACTCCAACCCCATTAGTCAGGTGTATTATGTGAAGGAAGAAAAGCTTAAAAAAAAAGTTTAAGATGCTATTTAATGTAGCAATAAGGAACGAGTAGATTGTGGCAGAAGAGACACTAACATGAAACAAAACACATTAGTTTCCTCAAAGGAGCTTTCCATGTGATTTAGCAAGCACTTAAACACATGTCTAATTTTCACCACATGCATATTCCCGTTGAAGTTAAGGGGAAAGGGAAGAACAGGGAAGAAAAATCAAAGAAAGAAAAACATGGCAGTTATTTTTTAAAGTTGATTCAGTTTACTGTAAGCAACATTTTGAGTCCTCTTTTCGTTATGGCGGTTGCTGAACAAAACTGAAAACGCTCAAAATTATGGAAAAGGTGTGTGGATTTGGGGTGCTTTTGGTACCACTCTGGTTTACTTCTCCAGCTATCAAGTAAGGGTATGAATAGGTATTTATTTTGAGCATGGATGTTGCTGAGAATTTCCACTACTAGAAATCTTTCTAGGGGAGGAAGCAGTATGGGTGTTCAGCCCGCAGTCACCCCTCTCACTGGCTCCCTGCACCTCCCCACACTGGGGTGATCGATCCCAGGAGCGCTGTCATGGATGGGTACAAACTGTTCAGGAAGGACAAATAGGGGAGAAGAGAAGGAGGAGTTGCGCTTTATGTAAAAGAGCCGTATGATTGCTCAGAGCTCCAGTATGAAGCTGGAGACGGGTCTGTTGAGAGTCTCTGGGGTAGGGTCAGAGGGGAGGGCAACAAGGGTGATGTTGTGGTGGGGGTCTGCTGTAGACCACCAGACTAGGAGGATGAAACAGATGAGACTTTCTTCAAACAGCTAGAGGAATTTTCCCGATCACAGGCCCTGGTTCTCATGGGGGACTTCAATCACCCTGACATCTGTCGGGAGGGCAATACAGCAGTGCGCAGGCAATCCAGGAAGTTTTTAGAGAGTCTTGGGGACACTGTCCAGGTGCAAGTGCTGGAGCAGCCAACTAGGGGCTGTGCTCTGCTTGACCTGATGCTCCAAATGGAAGAGTTGGTGGGGGATGTAGAAGTGGATGGCAACTTGGGCAGTAGTGACCACGAGACGATTGAGTTCAGGACCTTGGAAAGGAAGGATGGAGAGCAGCAGAGTAAGGACCCTGGGCTTCAGAAAGGCAGACTTTGACTTGCTCAGGGAACTCATGGGCAGGATCCCCTGGGAGGCCAGTCTGATGGGGAGAGGAGTCCAGGGGAATTGGCTATACTTTAAGGAAACCTTACTGAGAGTGCAGGAACAAACCATCCAGATGTGCAGGAAGACGGGCAAGTATGGAACAAGACCAGCTTGGCTTAGCAGGGAACTCTCCAGTAAACTAAATCCCAAAAAGAAAGCTTATATGACAGGGGTTTTCAACCTTTTTTAGTCTAAGTATCCCCAGCAGCCAAGCGCTGAGCAGGGGTGGGGGTGTTGTGTGGCCAGACGCCAGGGAGGTGGTGCATGGCTGGATGCCAAGGGGGAGAGGGGGTGGCGGGCAGCCAGACACCGAGTGGGGGAAGGGAGAGAGGTAGTGCATGGCTGGACATGGAGCAGGGAGGCAGGGACAGTACGTGGGTGGGTGGGGAGGGAGCACTGCCGCATCCCAGGAGCAGGGCCGGCTGGTGTGTGGCAGTGGCGGCTGCTGCGTGTGAGCTTCCCCACCCCGCAGAGGGGTGCCTCACCCCAGCCCTGCCCCTGGGAGGCGGCGGCTCTCCGTCCCCGCCCACCCACACGTACCCCCAGGGGTATGCATACCCCCGGTTGACGACCCCTGTTATAAGAAGTGGAAACTTGGACAAACAACTAGGGAAGAGTATACAAGTATTGCTCGGGCATGCAGGGATGAAGTCAGGAAGGCCAAAATGCGGTTGGAGTTGCAGCTAGCAAGGGATGTGAGGGGTAACAAGAAGGGTTTCTACAAGTATGTCAGTAACAAGAGGAAGATCAGGGAAAGTGTGGGTCCCTTACTGATTGGGGGAGGTAACCCAGTGCCAGAGGATGCAGAAAAAGCTGAAGTGCTCAATACCCTTTTCACCTCAGTCTTCACAGGCAAGGTCAGCTCCCAGACTACTGCACTGGGCAGCATAGTTTGGGGAGGAGGTGAGCAGCCTTCAGTGGTGAAAGAACAGATTAGGGACTATTTAGAAAAGCTGGACATATACAAGTCCATGGGGCCA